AAGGGAGCAACTTTGATCATCCAACTAAGATTCAAGCTTGGTAAGTTGTTCTAAGATGTTCCTTGCTTTGATTGCTTGAGTTGTATGGTTGAAAATCATAGTTTTCCTTCTCTTTTGATGCTGGACAAAACATATATATTGTAGAGGAGGTAGTTTTATGGTTCAATCCTGCTAGAACACTTCAAAGCATGATAGATCTAGTGGTTGTAGGTTGTTTTTGTAGTGTTTTCTTTGATATCTCTCTTAAAGTTCATTTCGACCAAAGCAAGATCTAAACCCTAGGATTTCTTTTTCAAAGTTTTGAGACTTCCATTGTGCTCAAAATGGAAAATAGTGTAGGGTAAACCTAAAGAACAAGTGTTGGAAGCCATAAAATCAAAGTTGCAATTTTTTGGATTTTTAACCCAAATGGTTCGGTCAAGCTGAAACTAAAAGGAGAAAATTTATTTTTTTAAATCCAAGTATATATTTGGAATCTACATAAAAAATCATGTAGGAATGAGTCAAGAGGGAATTTTTAGGGTTTATAGAAACTAACTCTAAAAATTCAAGAACAAAGATGGAAGCTTTAAGGGGTTTAGGAGTTACTTGAGTTATGTTATTGATTCTTATGTGGAATGGTTGATGATTGTTGCTGCCCTTTTTGTGGATTGCCATACTAGGATTTGGCATTTGTGGAAGCAAGAAAGGAGAACAAGAAAATCAAAGAGCATTGGATTAAGGTAGTAAGATTTAACTGACCTTAATGTTGAGTGTTGCATTGATTGCTATGCAAGTTCATGTGCTATTATGTGGTTGAACTAAATGATGATGATGATGATGATTGTGTAGCTATACTCCTTGGCTTATGTGCCTTGGCTATTGCATGTTAGAGTGCTACATGTATGAGGTAAAGTAGTTCCCTATTAATAGCAAAAGGTTGGAATGCTTGTAATTGATGCATGTTAATGTTTTGGTTAATTGATCTTGCTACTGGGATTTCTTAAAATCTCATCCCCCAAATATAATCTAACATTTTAGGGCCTGAAACTCCCAAGTGCAAGCTGCAGATTGGAGGCTAAATTATGGTGTCACACCATAAAAATTCGTGGACATTTGGTTATGTATAAGTATCAATGGTTGGTGCTGTAATCTCTAAGCAGGATGTTAGTTTAGAGCTACGTTTTGTTAAGTTACCAAATGAATTTCCACACAAAATTTGGTATGCTTAAATTTCACATCCTGAGCTTCAAATTGATAGGTAGAACGTTAAAATTGGCTAACTACACGATTTTTAATGATTTTTCAAATTTAAGATTCAGAATCTGGAAAAAGGATTTTTGCCAAATGGATAGAGGTGAATTTTACAAAATCCTGACACCTTTTCAAATGGAATTGGTTCATAAGATTATTTTTCTCTAAAAAATCATTCAAAGAGCTTTTTATAGAATTTTGAACCACTCCATTTCAATTTTTCTAGATTAAGTTATGAATTTGTGAAGTTAGGCCAGAAAACTGGATTTTTACCAGATAAACAGTAAAAATCCGAAAATTAGCGTTTTTCATGGATTTTTGAGCCTAAGACCATCCAATATAGTCTAAAATGGTTTTAATTAAACCCTAAGTGGATCTGATAGTAAGTTGTGACAGTTGGAATGTGCTAAGGGCATTGCAAAGACCAAAAGGCATTCTTTCATAAGCATAGGTTCCAAAAGGACAAGTGAAAGTGGTCTTATCCTGGTCCTTAGGGTCTATAGGTGTAACACCTTATGTTTATACCAAATAAATTATCTTGCAGAAGCATTTGGAATCACTTATGAAGGCTACAAATGATGAAAAATCAAGTTTGAAAATTTTCATTTACGGGTTACTATTCATTGTCACCTTAAAATGTGACAAACTTCAAAAATTCATAACTAATTGTAGAAAAATTAAAATCGAGTGATTCCAAGTTCTGCGGAAAGCTCTTTGGATAAAATTTTGAGGAAAAATAGTTTCTAGACTGATTTCCTTGGAATTCAAGCCCAATTTTCTTTGAAAAAGTTACTGTTCATTTGGTCATTTTCGGATTTTACTTGATTTTTGCCTAACTTTGGAAAGGCAAAACTTTCTGCTCAGTTATCGGAATCAGGCGAACTACCCCTCCTTTTAAAGAGAAAACTAAGATCTCTTTGCGCGCCAAATTTCAAAACCTAACTCACTCGTTTACTCAAATGGTCAATGGTCAAACTTTAATCCCTTTTAGTTGACTTTTTACCCCCTTTGGAAGGGTAACTTAACTTAATTGACCACTTAACATCATAGCATACTTTCCTTAGATATATTAGCTATTTCTAATCATGCTTGGACTATTCTACTCATGCTTGTATACCTCTAACCTTAATCATACTATTGGAAATATAAAGCATGCTTCATATTACATTCCTCCAAAATAGAAAGGTTCAAAGCCATATAAAGTTACTATGGTTTACTGCCTCTTCAAGTAAGAGCCAACTCCTTTCCTTTGCCCTTGGATGTTGAAGGCCCTAGGGTTTGTTTAAATATTGGGGTAAGATTCTTGGGGAATCTTAGTAGCAATTGCATGCATTATCAAGGTCACACAATACATTGTAAATCAAGCTACATGCATGCATACTTTAACTTTATGTTCATGCTATGGCAAGGACATATCATCATAAACATTCATATCACTCAACATAGCATAAGCCAAGGCATAATTTGCATGGAGGCAACATCATATAACATAACATTCTCATCCACCTCATAGCATAACAGATTAGCAAAACACATAGCCATAATCATACAAAGTAAGGTAACACTCTAATATAATGAATTGCAAAAACTACCTTGAATGCTTTCCTTCCTTTTGAAGTCTTTCTTCTTGACTAGATCTTTGCCCCTTTGTTATGTATAGCCTATTAGGCAATCAATGACACAACATTAAGTATCATTGCAACTTCACAACTTAACATAACCCTTTAAACCCATTTTTCTTGATTTTTAGGGTTTATTTTTCTAGCTTTGATTCTTGAACTTTCTTGGGCCTTTCCTACATAATTTTTCATGTAGAATCCATTTATCATATTAGTTTTATGAAAATCCAATCCTTTCCCATTGACTTAGCTTGGCCGAACCATATATATATATTTGTAGGGAGAAGGATTTTCAACCAAACTAACATGCAACCACTTAATCTTTAACCTTTAACCATGCTTAATCTTCATCTAAACCATTCCCTATCATTTTGATAAAATTTGGGCAGCACTTCCCCTTAGAAAAATGACTTTCTACCATCATTAAAATAGCCTAAAACTAACATACCATCATTATAACTTGAAATGGAAGAGTTTTAGAAGCTTACCTTGCTTCTAGATGACTTTCTCTCACTAGAATTCTCCTCTTTCTCTCTCTACACGAAAATTGCAAGAGGTTTCCTACTTGAAAGGTCTTGCATGAAATGAACATGTGAGGGGGTATTTATAGACTTCATATTTCACTAATTCCACATATGCCCTTCTTGCATAAGACTTAATCTTAGCCCTCCAATTTTTACCTCTTTCCACATGTACAAATCTTAGGCTAGGTAGCTTAATATGTTGACACTTGGATGATGAGTCATTAGGGCTTATGTCATCTCTTCTTATCCATTAAGATTAATTAGGCTCTAATCAAGGTTTACTCTCTTAATCCCTTGATTAACTTGGCTAATCAACCTTCTAGAAACTTTTGACTTTTCAAAAGTAGATGGTTGAATCCTAGCCATCCAATGAACCATGTTTGCCACATGTCACAATCCTACGGAAGATGACTCAACCCTAATCATCTTACTTAAACCTAATTAGGTTTTAACCTATCTTGATTTATTATTTTCTTTTTCCATTTCTTTTTATTTTTGTAGAGATATTATAGGAGATATTATAAGATATGTAAATATCCTGTAATTAGTATATAGGATATGATGTGATATGATTTCATATTAATGAGCCATTAATACCTAGGCTCCTCTAGTGTATATAAATACCCAATCGAAGTATCAATAAAATACACAATTTTCATTCTCTAAATTACATGGTATCAGAGCCAGTTTACTAGGGTTAAAAGAAACATTTTTTTTCTGGCCTCCAGCGTCCGTCACTGTTCACCAGCGCCGTCACTGTTCACGCGGCTACCAAACGATCAGCTTTCCAGCCTCTACAGTGAACACGCGCCGGCCAGAGGAGGTCGCAGGGGTCCGATCGGCTAGCCACCGGAGTCTCGTCGTCGTCCGAGCAGCGCGTGGCCTTCACGCGCCGTCACCCTGCGCGGGTACTGTTCACGCGCCGTCGCGTTTTGCAGCGTTTTCCGGCGTCTTCTTTCGTTTTCCGGCGTCTTCTCTCGGTTTCCGGCGTCTTCTGGTGTTTTCCGACCCATCCCTACTGCTTCTACTTTCTGGGTCACATTGTTTGTTGTGATTCAGAGCAATTTTGGCTTCCTGAGCAAGCGTTGACACTCTAGTTTGTGGTATTCTAATCTATTTTTTATTCTGTGGTCCCTAGTGTGATCCACTTGGCTGATTAGTATTTTTGTGATAATTATTATCCTAATGGGTGATAACAAGTCTGTTATTTCTGAGATGGTTCCAGTAGTCACTAAGATTACTGAACACAAACTAACTTGGAAAAATTATCTGGATTGGAGTAAGACTATTCGTATTTATTTTCGGAGTATTGAGAAGGAAGATCACTTGACTGACAATCCTCCTGATGAAAAGGATGCCTCTCGCAAGTCATGGTTAAGAGATGATGCACGGCTTCTGTTACAACTTCGTAACTCTATTGACAGTGAGATCATGCCTTCTATTACTCATTGTGAATTTGTTAAAGAGCTAATGGATTATTTGGCACTCTTATACTCAGGAAAGAACAACATCTCTCGTATGTACGAGGTCTGCAGATCATTCTATCGGTCCGAGATGCCAGTTGACCGTTCCCTCACAAATTTCTTTATGGATTTTAAAAACACCTATGAAGAGCTCAATGTTCTTATGCCTATTTCTGATGACAGGAAAGTTAATGTGTCTCACCGCGAGCAGATGGCCACCATGAGTTTTCTGACTGCACTGCCATCTCAATATGCGGCTGCTCGATCACAAATTTTGTCGGGAGCTGACATCCCCTCTCTTGAAGAAGCTTTCTCTCGTGTACTGAGAACTGAACAAAACCCTTCCTCAACTCCCATTCCACCTACTAGTGCATTACTCAGTCGAGGCCAGAATGACAATCGAGGGCTCCCTAGTCGTAGTGGTCCGAAACCAGGAGGTGGTAATCAGGAGCCCAAGGAAGTGATATGTTATTACTGCAAGGAACCGGGACATACTAAACGCACATGTCGTAAGCTGCAAAACAAGCAACAACGACAGAGCTCTGCCCATGTGGCCACAACAACCAGTGACATGGTTACTATCTCAGCTACTGAGTATGCTCAATTGAAATCTGCAAATCCCCCCGTGAGCACTGCTAGTGCAACAGGTAATGAGGCTACTGCCCTTGTCTCTTCTTCCTCCAAATGGATCATAGACTCTGGTGCTACTGACCACATGACAGGTAACCGTCATCTCTTCTCTAGCTATAATTCGTATGCCAACCCTTCTGCTATCACCATTGCGGATGGTTCCCACTCTCGTGTCCTTGGATCTGGATCTGTTAAACCTACTCCTTCTATTCATTTAAAATCTGTACTCAATGTCCCAAATCTTGTTTTTAACCTTTTGTCCCCTAGCAAGCTTACTCGCCAATTAAATTGTTGGGTCTCACTTTTTCCTGACCATTGCTTGATACAGGATCTTTTGACGAAGAGGATTATTGGTAGGGGCTACGAATCTGGCGGACATTACTTCCTTGATGATCAGGGGTCTCGTGCGGTGGCTTGTACTGGTGGTGTCACTCCATTTGAAGCACATTGTCGTTTGGGTCATTTATCTTTATCTTCTTTAAAAAAGGTTTATCCTCAGTTTTAGCATTTGTCGTCTTTAGATTGTGAGTCGTGTCAGTTTGCTAAACATCATCGTCTACCGTTAGTGTCTAGAGTCAATAAACGGGCTTCGTCCCCCTTTGAGTTAGTGCACTCCGATATTTGGGGTCCGTGTCCAGTTGAGTCCAAAGGTGGTTTTAAATATTTTGTCACATTTGTTGATGATTATTCCCGTACCACTTGGCTATATTTAATGAAAAATCGTTCTGAGCTTTTCTCTCACTTTTGTACTTTTGTTGCCGAAATTAAAACTCAATTCAATACGCTTGTCCACACCTTGCGCAGTGATAATGCTAAAGAATATTTTTCTGAATCCTTTCGCTCTTTTATGCTTCAACATGGCATTCTTCATCAATCTTCCTGTGTGGATACACCGGCCCAGAATGGTGTGGCCGAAAGAAAAAATCGTCACTTATTAGAGGTGGCCCGTGCACTTTTATTTCAAATGCAGGTTCCAAAACCATTCTGGGCAGATGCAGTCTCCACAGCTTGTTTTCTTATTAATCGCATGCCCTCCTCTGTCCTTGATGGTAACATTCCCTACACCACTCTCTTTCCTTCCAAAGCTTTGTTCCCTATTGATCCTAAGATCTTTGGCTGTGTTTGTTTTGTTCGAGATGTGCGTCCCACGGTCTCCAAATTGGACCCCAAGTCTCTTAAATGTGTCTTTCTTGGCTACTCTCGAGTTCAAAAGGGTTATCGATGTTTTTCTCCTACTTTGAATCGTTATTTGGTTTCAGCTGATGTCACTTTTCAGGAATCTGTTGCCTACTTTGCATCTAATGCTTCCGCTTTACCTTCTCCACCGGCGGAGGAGGATACCTTTCTGGTATATTCTGTTAGTCCAAGCTTGCCACCAGTACCAGCTCCCGTACTGGCACCTGATCAATCATCTTTGTCTTGGGTCTACACCAGACGTTTGAAGGAAACTACTCCTACTATTGCGCCACATTCTGCTCCACCATTATTTGCTTCGTCATCTGATCCTACAGCAAGCATCATACACCCTGAGCCTGACCCTGCCCCAGGTCTAGATGCCGATCCCTCAATTGACTCTGAGACACCTCCTGTTCCAGCTCCAGATCCCTCTCTTGATTTGCCCATTGCCCTTCGTAAAGGTAAATGTACTTGTGCCCATCCTATTTCTTCTTTTGTTTCATATAACCACCTCCCTTCTGTTTCTCGTGCCTTTGTTGTCTCTTTAGATACTATTTCAGTACCTAAGTCCCTTCATGAAGCCTTGTCCCACCCAGGTTGGCGTACTGCTATGGAAGAAGAGATGGCGGCCCTTCATTGTGCTGGCACATGGACCTTAGTAGATTTACCAGCAGGAAAGAAAGCTATTGGGTGTAAGTGGGTGTTGACCCCTAAAGTTAAGGCGGATGGTACACTTGAACGCCTCAAGGCTCGCCTTGTCGCAAAAGGCTATGCTCAAAAGTATGGTATTGACTACTCTGAGACTTTTTCTCCCGTGGCCAAGCTCTCTTCTGTTCGTCTGTTTATCTCTATGGCCGCTACCTATAGTTGGGATCTCCATCAATTAGATATCAAAAATGCATTCTTGAACGGTGATCTCCTTGAAGAAGTGTATATGGAGCAACCACCAGGTTTTGTTGCTCAGGGGGAGCGTGGGAAGGTGTGTCGCCTTAAGAAATCACTCTATGGCTTAAAACAAAGTCCTCGGGCATGGTTTGACAGATTTAGTACTGTTGTGAAAAACTTTGGCTTGCACCGGAGTAAGTGTGATCATTCTGTGTTCTATCAGCAAACAAGTGCTGGCATGATTCTACTAGTTGTGTATGTCGATGACATTGTGATTACAGGAAACAATGCCTTGGGGATCTCATCTCTCAAGTCGTTCCTTAACTCACATTTCCAAACGAAGGATCTGGGTTCATTGAAGTATTTTCTGGGAATTGAAGTCATGAGGAGCAAGAAAGGCATCTTATTGACTCAGAGAAAGTATGTTCTTGATCTGCTGAAAGAAACTGGGAAACTAGGGGTTGCCCCGACCAGCTTCCCTATGGTCTATAATCCTCTGCTTGATGCTGATGGTAGCATACCATGTGAAAATCCTGATGAGGCTGCTAAGAGCAAGCCATTTGAAAATCCAGAGAGGTATAGGAGACTGATTGGGAAGTTGAATTACCTTACAGTGACCCGTCCTGATATCACCTATCCAGTAAGTGTCCTTAGCCAATTTATGGTTGCGCCAACTGTTCGACAATGGGAAGCCTTAGAGCATGTGTTACACTACTTGAAGGGATCCCCGGGTCGTGGGATATTGTACAAGAATCATGGTCACACAGACATTGAGTGCTTTTGTGATGCTGATCATGGTGGGTCGAAAGCCACAAGACGATCGACTACAGGATACTGTGTTTTTGTAGGAGGCAACTTGGTGTCCTGGAAAAGCAAGAAACAGAATGTGGTGTCACGATCGAGTGCAGAAGCGGAATACAGAGCCATGGCGCAATCTGTATGTGAGATAGTTTGGATATACCAGCTACTAAAAGAGGTTGGTCTTAAAACCTCGTTACCAGCAAAGCTGTGGTGTGATAATAAAGCAGCCCTACACATAGCTTCGAATTCGGTCTTTCATGAACGAACGAAACATATTGAGATTGACTGTCATTTCATCCGAGACAAGCTCAAGGAAAACTTCATCTCTACAGGACATGTCAGATCCAGCGACCAGTTGGGTGATCTTCTCACCAAAGCTCTCAATGGGGTTCGAGTTGAATATCTTTGTAACAAGTTGGGTATGATTGACATCTATGCTCCAACTTGAGGGGGAGTGTAGAGATATTATAGGAGATATTATAAGATATGTAAATATCCTGTAATTAGTATATAGGATATGATGTGATATGATTTCATATTAATGAGCCATTAATACCTAGGCTCCTCTAGTGTATATAAATACCCAATCGAAGTATCAATAAAATACACAATTTTCATTCTCTAAATTACAATTTTCTTTTTTCTTTTCCTGGCCAATTTAGGCGTGACATGTGTCCTTGTCCATCTGTAGGAAATTTTATCACCCCTATTGTCCAGACAGTCCACTGAGTCTTGATATAGTACTGGTTTATTTTATCTGATAGCTGAAAAATTCTAGTATCTCAAAATTCTTATATCAGCTCACCATTAATTATGTCTCAATAAAGGGCTATTTCTTGATTAATTTCATAATTTGTCTCCCTCTATAACTCCTTAAATTGTCATTCCTATAAAAATAGACAATCTACCGATATTAATTTAGCTTTAAATTCAATTAAAGCTAACCTCCTCATCATTTAGGGTTGGAAATAATTTTATAAATTTCCATAATTCCTAAATAAATTTCCTTTAAATTTTCATAATTTTCTGAGATCTCTAAATATTTTTAATAATTAACATTGGCTAATTTTCCTTAATTTAGCCAGAATATTAATAATTAAAATAATTTTTAATAAATTATTTTCAACCTATATTTACTTTCTAGACCTCAAATATCATTCTACGGTATTAATTCTATTTTCCATGATTTACTGGAAATTTTTAGGATTTCCGGACACTAATTACAATAATGCCCTTTGTAGACCAATCATTTTAAAAATGACAATTTGGTCCTTTTTCAGTTCTCACTTCAATTGTTATGCTGTTTATCTATCTTTTATCTCACCTGGCCTTGGTCAGCCCTAAATCTTTCATTAATCATACTAAAGATATCAGGGTATGACATATTTTCCTATTTCTAGGTTAGAAATTTTGGGATGTTACACCATATCCCTAGGAACCCTGATGATGATAATAGGAGTATTAGGGAATTGAATAACTCAACTATTAATTGTACACCTAAAGGCTTTCATGCTCATGATCTTGGTTTTGAGATCAAAGGTGGTTTAATTAGTACCTTATCCAAATTTTATAGACTTGCAGGTAATGATCCATATCAGCATTTAGACTTAACATATTAAGTTTGTGCAACCATGAAGCTACTTGGAGCATCTTTAAAGGATGTTTTGCGAAGTGTTTTCCATTTCACACTTAAGGGAAATGCTAGATAGTGGCTAACCACTCTTCCTCAACACTACTCAACTCTAACAGGGGAGCAAATCAAGAAGGCTTTTCTAGACAAGTATTTTCCAGCTTCAAGAACTTCAAGGCTTAGGAAGGAAATTTATGGAGTATCACAGTAAGACCAAGAGTCTCTCTTTGACTATTGGGCTAGGCTTTTAGCTTTATTGAGCAAGTGTCCTAAACTTCAGTGCTTAAAATCAAACCTGGAGCAATACTTCTATGAAGGATATTTGGTGTCTTATAAGGAGACTATTGATGTTGCTGCACATGGATCAATTCTAGAACTCACTCCTAATAATGCCTGGAATCAACTAGGGAGGATGGCCAACAACAATCAACAATACTACATAAGAGAATCTCAAAGAGGATAAGTGGCTTCTATGAATTCTTCATAAGATAATTTGCTGGAAAGGTTGTTGCATCTCATTGAAAAAATGGAAAAAAGAGTGGAGAACTTAGAGAAACAAAGAAATGTGAGGAATTGCAACACTGTTAACTACTCACAAGCATTAGTTGGACCATCATGTGAACATTGTGCCTCAACCATGTATATGAGTGATGATTGTCTAAGTCATTATGAAGAAGTTTCTGCTAGGTACTCAAACAGGCAATGACAATACTCACGAAGGAACCCGTATTCCTCAACTTATAATGAGGGGTGGAGAGATCATCCTAATTTGAGGTGGAAAACTAATAACAATAGGTAGTTGACTTCACAACAGAGATTTTAGAATCAAAGGCCACCCTTGGATTCCAATTCAAGAGTCATGATTCCTACTCAAAACAACTTTTATTCTTTAAATGATAGCATTACTGAGCTAATCAAGATCATGAAAGAAGGAATGAGTGATTTGGGTGCAAGGATTGAAAGTACTGCAACCTCTTCTAATTCTAAAC